CTCTGGAGTGCCAGCAGTACCGTAAGCAAACCACCCACCCGTTCAAACCTGTAAGAACTTCGTTCATCTTCAGAACACAAATCAAGATATTTTTGATGAAATCCGAGAGCTTTCTGACCCTCCATAGACAGCAACACAACTACCACATTCAAGGTAGTAAGAACATAGTTTTAAAAGTCCATGTGACATCAGTGGATCAACCGTAACTTTATGAAGCTACGAGAATACTTTTTTTGTGCAAAGAAACAAAAATAACTTTATTGGATTTGTGCTCCGAATAGGGTTGGGAATTGAAAATCAATTCCAATTCCAGAATCGGGTACTTAAGGTTAGAAATCAGATACTTGATGTAAAATTAATTTCAATTCTGCCTATCGATTCCCGTGTGTGTTGTTTTTTTGTTTTGTTTTTTTATCTGTGAGGACCCGACCTAGCGATCTGCCAGGACCTTGCTCGGTAATCTAAGCGCTCCAAAGTTTAGCTACACTTGTGATCAGAAGCCGAAAAAGCTAAGTAATATTTGTGATAAACTAAACTTGTTGCAAGAGAGGGGTCACCACCAACATGACAAATCACTTTAACAGATCATTAAAGCTGCAGTCCGTAAATTTTGCCTCTTTGTCGCCATCTCTGTTTGAAACCTGCAATTGCAGCTGTGTGCGGAATTATCCTTGCGTGGGTTGTGCACCGGCACGGCTCCAGCGCAGATGAATCTGATGTTTGGAGGTGAATGTGTGGCTGTCAGTCACCACACCGGTGTGGATACTGTAACGTTACTTAGGAATCACAGATTCTCGCCTACGTCTTGGAATATATGACCCAAATAAGAATTTTCACTGGATATTGTCATCAGAACAATTAAGTAACAAGTCTGCCACGTTTGCTCTGACTAACTGAGGAAAAAAGCATTACAATAAATCACGCTACCAATGGTGATTAAGTGTAACGATCGGTTAATTAGCTCATATCACATCAAACCAAGCAAATTATTATTATTGTTATACTTTGTTCTTAAATTGTTAATGTTAACAACATCGGTATTGCCTATAGTGTGTATTAGTGTGTAGATTTCAATTTCTGTACAGTCTAATCTCTAATTGTCATACCATTCGAATTCCATATAAAGAGATGATTTTAAACCAAAAAGCAAATTATTCTTGCTTCTAACTGGTTGTCTTTAAAATACATATTTTGTGTAATCCCAGGCTATCTGTAATCAGATGCACATTTAAAACAGGAATAATTTAATTTCAGTCACATGTGTTTCATAAACACATAATCCCTTCTGGATTACTATCTGCCATCAAAATTATACATTGAATTATTCTAGCTGCTGTGAGAAAAGGCTATAAACGATCGTCCACCTGCAGGATCCTCACATGCGATAGCCTAGTAGCCGGGACTCAATCTTTGTTATCAGACGTGACGTAATGACACAGCAGCATGCTCAGCATTTCCCGCGAAAACCTAACCGTACCACTCAAATTAGAAAACATTATTATAAGCTAACCGTTGTGAATCGGGCTAAAGTAAGGCGATAGTTTTGAACACTGGCTGTTTATGCACTTGCTCAAATATTGATTTTGGATCATTTTTAACCAAAAAAAAGTTACGGACTGCAACTTTAAAGATCACGGACACGATTCAAATACCAACATTCTATTCCTAAATTACAGTGATTCGTCTGTTTCATTCCTCAACCTTTGATGTGTGATCACAACGTTGTGGTTCGTCCTTGCAGCGTACGATCACAGCAGAAGGGGGCGAAAAGGGGCTGTTAAAATGTGTTTGTCTTTGAATCATTCAAGAGATTCGTTCAAAAACGCTGATTCATCAAGTAATAAAACAAGTAAATCTTGAGTGAGTCATTGAATCATTCATTCATAAATTACATGTGCTTTTGTTTAGTTGTCTGGTTTTTTTTTCTTCAGAATCGTGAGAACCACAATCTCCATTAAAAAAACTAAATTTATCCAGAATCATGCAGCTCTGTTTTGCACATGAACAGCTCTTAAACGAGTCCAGTTTTTATGTAGCCTGCTGATTTTTGTTCATGGTATTCAGCTGCAACTAAATGTTTTGCAAAAAGAGACGCATAATAAATATGTTTGATATCATTTTTAATCCCATTGGAATCAAAACTGGGAATCGTAAAGAATCGGAAGCGATAAGCAGAATCGGAATTGATAAAATTCAAACGATACCCAACCCTAGGTCTTGCGGGTTTGGAATGACATGAAGGTGAGTAATTAATGACAGCATTTTTATTTTTGGGTGAACTATTCCTTTAACATTTATTTGACCAAAAATGTGCAGTAACTAGAAAAAGTATGTGAACTAAGTGTTAATTATGTCAGCTGTCTTTTATTTTAATGTTAGTCCTCTGTCAAATGTCTTTTTTAGTCTTTATCGTATTAAGTCAACCTAGCCTCTTTTTGTTTAGTCAAGTTTTAGTTGACTAAAAACCTGGGAATTTAAGTCTATTTTTTTTTTTTGTCAAATAAAACTTCACATTTTCATGCTGCCTAATGGTTAAACTGATAATCATAATTATTTTGCTCCAAATTATTATTACGATTACTGATCATGATTGTTGTCATTTGAGAAATTATATCAGAATTATTGCATTTTCAACTATAAGCATTCATAAGGTTTATTTTACCTCATCTAATTTCCTCATTTATTGTATTATCATAAATATAAACACTCCTTATATTATAAAAACTGGTAAAAATCAAAAACTTCTCTTAAAAGCTAAACAGTGGCATTCCTAATATTAATTGCAATCATACTGATGTCTTTCTGTTAAAACGACAAAACAGAATTTGTTTTGTGGCACAGAGGGGCATAAGTGCATTTATTCAGCAACCTCGGTTGCAAACAATATAGGTCCATGTTTGGATTTATTTATTTGTCACTGAGAAGGTTTGATGGCAGATTTAGAGAGAGCAAACAGCGTAAAAATACGGCCGTGTGAAGGAACACACTGACTGCATTACAGTTTCATTTGAGCCGAATATCTCAGTGGAGATGGTTAAACTCCAACTTAGTTCACTTAGATCATCAAGCACAATGTGTTTGTCTATATTTGTGAATTTGATGAAGATCAGATGACATTTCATGACCGGTTAATGCAGAAAAGCAACCAATCCCAATTTTTTCACATACTTTTTCTTGCCATTGAATTTAGAGTTGTTGTTTTTAAGCTGACCTCATGAATTCCTGTGCATATTCAGTTTCGTATGAATGAGGTGGATCAGTTGTATTTCCTCTTTCCTGCAGCGGATCCTGACATATCCACGTACCAGTACGATGAGAGCTCTGGCTATTACTACGACCCCCTTACAGGCCTCTACTATGACCCAAATTCACAGGTAATAAAGTCATATGTGCAGCCTTAAACATTAGCTTGCTCAGGAGTCTTTAGCCGCTTTTCCGTTGTCTAACTGTGCCGAGAACGGTTTGTAATCGTGGCGCGCCGTACCTGACAGTTCTTGTACCGTTCACTACCGATAGTGGAAAAGCGGCTTTCGATTAGTTTTGAGCAGAAGTATCCAATCCTGTTACTGGAGGGCCAGTGTCCTGAAGTGTTCAGCTTAACATGTTTCCCTGGACATTTCTAGACCTCGATTGCCTTGTTCAGGTGTGTTTAAATAGGGTTAAAGCTAAACTCAGAAAGGGACCCTCCATAGGGCCCTATAATTTTCGCGATGTTGAAAACGTGGATGGAATCCCGGAATCCAGTCATAAAAACTTAATTTATTGTATAACGTGGAATGTCACGGAGTTTGCCAAGTTTTGGATGAATAAATCAAAAGTTAGGTCAGCACACTTAAATCAAAATGTGATTAGACTAGTGTCTGTGAATATTAAGCCACAAAAATACCATTTAAATACAAATCCTGCATGTTTTGCGTGTCTCTGTGTGAATGAATCGCGCAGACGTGCGGTTTATTTTGCTACACACATACTACACACTTGCAGAGTTTTCAGCCTCTGCCACCTCAATATATGAGCACATGAACACATAAACATAATCTCTAGAACTGCTCTGAGAGTCACTTCATGAGCATTTAAAAAAAACAAAAAAAACAAAACTGCATTTTGAAAAAAAAAAAGAAGGAATTTGGGGAAAAAATACAATGGATTCCATAGGGAGAAGGAGCAGGACACTCCTAGTTCTGAGTAATCTTGGCAGGAATCTTTTTTTAAATGACCAGTCAGTCATGCTTGTAGGCTTACTGAGCGACTAATCACAGCTTCTTAAACAAGCACATTGATACTGATAATGTTGCTGTTTGTTTTTGTGATGTTCTTCTAGTACTACTATAATCCCCATACGCAGCAGTACATGTACTGGGATGGGGAAAGACACACATATGTTCCTGCCCTGTCACAGACGTCCGATAACACCACAGACGCTGCGGCCGCAGGAGCAATCTCTGACCTTACAGGTGCTCCCAACAGCAGCAAGGACAAGAAGGACAAGCCCAGGAATAAGACGGCACAGCAGGTACAGTCTCAGACCGAAACCCTCACTGCTTGTGAGGGTTCAGGTTTATTAATGTGTCTTATAGAGTGAGGTTTCGAAGGGATGTGATCTAAATTGAGTATCTCTTCCTGTTGTTAATTTTCCTCAGATCGCCAAAGACATGGAGCGGTGGGCCAAAAGTCTGAACAGGCAGAAGGAGAATGGGCGAGTACTGAGCACTAGCTCTCGACTGATGGCACAGGGGAGACCCGATGACAGACGGGAATCTGCCAGCGCTGATGCAGGCTACGCCGTCCTGGAGATGAAGGTTGGGTTTTTACACGTCTGATTAATGCCAGGCTCTTAAAATGCCACCTTTTTCATTTGTATAACTGATAGTGGTTGAACGGATCGTAGTTGATCCGAATACTACCGACCTTATTTTATTTGTAACATTGTTCTGTTGTATTTATCTATGCTTGTAATTTGTGTACTTTTGCTGGCTGTTCACTTGTCTCTTTAATAATTTTTGAACTTTCTTAGGCTAGGAATTTTTGCAAAGAAGTACTTATGGAAAGCAAAGTTACATTGAATATATATATATTTTTTTTTAAATTTTCTTGCTAATCCTAAAAACAACCGATCCATGGCTCAAAAGCTGTAATATGATCCAAACCGTGAGATTTGTGATCCGTTGAACCACTAATAACTGATGGTGTGTCTTCCCTCTGCACAGGGTGCCTTGCTGGAGAGACCTCAGATTCTGATGGAGCAGATCAAACATCCAGAAGAGAGAGAAGTGCGTTTTGTCTTGCTTTTTCGCTTTTGTTTGGTTTTTGCTTTAATTTCATTGTTATGGTATGACGTTTGGGTTTTGTTTTATTTTAGATTTTGTTTCATATTTTTGTTGTTTTGATATGCTTCATTATTGTTTTTGTTTTTTGTTCTTTATTATTTTAAGTTTTTAACATACAAAGCAAGACATTTGAAAAGGGCAAACACCCAGAAGAGAGAGAAGTGTGGTTTTGTTTTTTATTGTTACCTTATGTTATGATGTTTGATTTTCATTAGGGTTGGGCCGATAGACGATGCTATCATCCGTCGTTGATGGCTGATAGACATCACGATGTTGAGCCGGCATCATGATTCCCCCGGCAATCCGCCGCATCCCAATACCGTGTTTGGAAAGAAAATGATGTGTATTCAGAACCCCTAAAGGGAATAAATACGAGATGGGAGGAAAATATATATTTCAATAGCCTACTTTCTCTCGCAGTTATATCATTAGGTAATATACTGTATATATGTTGCGGGCATCAGGGAGCTGCTATTATACCTAGCATTGAAACTGCTTTTGAATGCATGATTGCATTTTAGTTTCACTTTTGAGATTCGCGATCGCACATACTCTGTTTATACTATGGAGCGGCAGTACTTGACCACACATTTTACAAGATTAGATGTTTGTCAGTGGTGCTCAGGATCTGCAAATCATTCGCCATCGTCCTCAGTCATCTCTCCTTACTCTGTTTATGTGGTAAGTGAAATGTTATGTACTGTAATGTAACAGGCTACCGTTTCGCAATCGTTATTTGTTTTCCGTGCCTTTCTGAATACCACCCCCCCCCCAATTTTGTAGACATTGCCCAACCCTAATTTTTATTTTATTTTGGATTGTTTTTCATCTTATGTTACATTATATTTTTTATTTGTTGAATTATTTTTGTTTTGTTACAGGATGGCTTTGTTTTGTCGTTGTTGTTGTTTAATGCATAGATACAAATCGTGTAAAGGGTTTTCAGATTCTAATTTTGCTTAAATGTCATCAGCTTTGTTTTTTTTATATTTTACTTTTTTAACATACAAAGCAAGGAAGAGAGCAACCTCAGGTTCTGATGGAACACATCAAACATCCAGAAGAAAGACAAAGTGTTTTTGTTTTGTTTTGTTTTGTTTTGTTTTTGTTGTGTGTTTTGGTTTGGTTTGTTTTGTTTTGTTTTGTGTTTTGTTTTGTTTTGATTACCTAATGTTATGATTTTTGGTTTCAATTTAAGTTAATTGTGGATTTTGTTTCATCGTACTTTACATTCTGGTTTTATTTGTTGAATTTCCTTTGTTGGTTTTGTTACATTATGGCCTTTTGTTTTTATCTTTTACTTTTTTAACATTATATACAAAGCAGTAAATATGAACAGCAACAATAATAGCAAAATAAATAAATAATCAGTAAAACAAAGACCAAAAAAAGTGTTTAACACGAGCAAAGCTGAGACATGGCTTTGTTTTTACTTGTATTTAATTTTTGATTTGTTTCATGTGTTTGTGTTTGTCTTGTTTCCATTTTGTGCATTTTACCATGCGACTCACCGCTTGCATCTTCTATGTTGTACTCTGTTCGAAAAACCTTTTCTATTATTGGCACTGCAGTGTTATAAAAATAAATGTTTCTGTCTGCTGGTCTTGTCTCTCGGCAGAGTCCTCCTCAGGGTCTGGTGGCAGGATACAGTGGAGAGACAGACAGTGAGGAGGAGGCCGGAGAGCGAGAGGAGAGGCTGACAGACTGGTCTAAATTGGCCTGTCTGCTGTGCAGGAGACAGTTCCCCAGTAAAGAGGCTCTGATCAGACATCAGCAGCTCTCTGAGCTACACCGGGTGAGTCATGCACGTCACATGATGCCTTGATATATGCCAACATGAGCCATGTCACTTCTGATTGCTCTTATAGACCTTATGTAAAAATTTGTGTAAAGCTCTTTGATCACTTATAATTTTTCCACAGCTCATGTCTGGAGTTTTTGTCTACTAAATTGCTTGGAAAGATATGTTTTTGCAGGATTTCATCAACAGAACAATCCAAAATCACATTAGATAACAGCACAACCCACTGAATAGATGTATATCTATCCTCACAGCCTTGCTTTCTTTCTAGTCTATTGTTCTTCATGAAATTTTATGGATTTAATTTTTGGAAAAAAATAAAAGATGAATAAATAAAAATGAGTCAGAAGTAATCAGTGTTATTATTATTAACTAAAACCAAATCTATTAAAAACCTTGTAAATTAATTAAAGATTAAATACAATTTAATATAAATATTAGATGAAAAACATAATTGAATAAAAAAAATGTAATTTTAATTTTAAAAAAGTTGTACAATTAAGCCTGAAATAAATAATAAAAACAAAAAATAATACAAATTTCAAAAGCACATAACAATGTTACAAAGACATAACTAAAATGAAAACCGCAATATATAAATAAAAATAAAGTTAATTCATATTAATGATAATAATATTTAAAAATACTAAAATAACATTGACAATAACTAGACCAACTGCATTAGCTTTGCATACAGCACAGGGATTCCCCAGCCCAAATGCAAAATAACAACATTTGCACTAAATTATTGTTCACATGTCTGATTTTTAATTTTTGTGTCATTTTGGTTATATTTCTGGAGGTACAAATCATAATTGGGGCTGCATTAACTAACCATAGTACTCTGAATGCCAAATAAATAGAATAAAACAGTATGTTCATATAGTTGATTTTTGTTTCTCAATGTTCAGCAAAATCTGGAGCAGAGGAGAGCCAGACAGGCTCAGTCAGAGACACAAGAGCGATCAGAAACCGAGGTAAATACTGCGGTCAGATTGTTCTGAAAGCCCTGATTACACTTCCTCTGATATCTAACTACCATTAAAAAAAAACTGTTTCCACTATAACTGCTATTTCTTTCTCTATAATTCATTGCTTTGACACTTTTGAAGTATTGACCTCTGGGTGGCGCTCTTCATTTTAGCTGAAATACAGGGACCGGGCAGCAGAAAGAAGAGAAAAAGGGGCCATCCCACAAGCACCAGATGCAAAAAAGAGGAGAGTCAGCCCCGTGTAAGTTAAACGAGTCAAGTCATACTTCATATATACTGTCTGTTAAACGCATAGCTGTCACAGACAGAGATATTTGGGGGTGTACTGTGGTAATACCATGGTGTTTTGAGGATAATGTCTTATTTTTGCTCTTGTTCGTGGTCAGCAGTGGCGTGGGATCTCAGATGCTTCCTGGAAGGATGGAAAAAGGCTTTTTCACTCGAAACCTGCCAGTGGAATAACGTCGGTCTTTGGACTTCCTTCAGTGCTAAACGAAATGCCTCGTGAGCAGTTTTTAATCATATGGTGCAGAACACATGCACAGTGCAGCTAAGAGACCATCGTCAGGATGCGTCACAAAGATGAGAATGATGAATATAAAATATATATTACTTTATGGGATTCAGGTTGATTTAAAGAACAACCCTCAGGACCCTGAGAAATACAAAATAAGCTTCTAATGATAGCACACTGTTACTGTAAATACGGTCCAACTATGACATTCGTGGACTTTAGCCCATTGTCGGCTTCCCAGAAAGCAATTTGTGAATATTTATAGATGGCATGAATTTATGAAACACTTTGCCTTTCTGGGAAGCTGTGGAAATGATGTCAGGGTGGAAAACTGGGATAATTCAGAAACTATTTCATGTAGTTTCTTCATCTTTTTTGTCCCTTTAAGTATGATTTGAATAACAGCCATCATGGGCCCTGAGGAGAAGCTTTGCTAGTAAGTGTGCTATGCATTTGCATGTCTTGTATGACATGACCGTCTATGCAGAAATGACAGACAGCGGCTGTCTGTGTTGACTTGCACAGTAGATTAGACTTTAGTGATTATCTTGATGAAAAGGCACAGCAGATGATTATTGTTTACCTATATTAATTTTTATTAACCTGATTTGCAGTGTATATGTGTCGTATTATATGACTTAGACTATATAAGCTTTATAAGATTATATAAGCTGGTGTACATTTTTTTTTTAATGTGAATTTAAGGTGGACTGAGTGAATTTGTGAGTGTATGTCCTTATGAGCACTAGGTGCCATTATGGGGTTTTTTTTGTCGTTGTTGTTTAATGCATAGATAAACATCATGCAAATGATTTTCAGATTCTAATTTTGCTGAAATGTCTTCAGAAAAGGCTGAAAGCCCATTTTGGTTGACAATTTTGTTTAAAAAATGGTTCCTAATGAAAAATGATTAGCAGCTTTTTTTTCCTTCATTAGGTTATGTGAATATAGAACATGACTATTGAGAATGTGACATTTTGAAAGGATTTCAGAGGATTTTTTTTACATTTATGTCTAAATGAAGTAAGAGAATCTTACCAAACCTGTCAAGAACATCTCTGAGTCTTATTTCTCCAAATCAAGATCATAAGAAAATCTGATATACCGATTTACTCAATTTTATTTAATTAAAAAGAAAATTGAGCTTATTTTTAGAGTGGTTAAGATTTTTCATATTGTATTGTTACATTATTTTCATTCTAGTTAAGCATTTTATGTGGAAAAAAATGTGAAAAATACTGTTACGTGAAATAGAAAGCTTATTTTTTTTATTTTGTTGTATTTTACTTTATTTTATATATGTGTGTGTGTGTGTGTGTATACATACATACATACATACATACATACATACATAGATATACAATTGAAGACAAAATTATTAGACCACCTATGAAATTTAAATTATTTTTCAGATATTTCCTAAGTGATGTTTAACAGAGCAAGGGAATTTTAACACCGTATTTATTATATTTTTCATCTGGAGAAAGCCTTATTTCAATTTGCCTGGAATAAAAGAATTATTTAAAAAATAAGAAAACTGCTAAGGTCAATATTATTAGCCCCCTTAAGAAATTATCTGTTTGTCTGGCTACTGAAAAAAACACTGTTGTCCAATGACTTGCGTAACTAACCTAACTTGCCTAATTAACCTAATTAATCTTCTAAGCATTTAAATTGCGCTGTAAGCTGAGGATTAGTATCTTGCAAAACAACTAGTAAAACTCCACTTTTGAAGAAGAGACACCTCCAAGCTACACTGACATTTGAAGGACAACCTGGAGAAAAATTATGCATACTGGTAAGGTCCTTCAGTCAGATGAGACAAAACTAGAGTTCTTTGGCCACAGAGATGTTGCCTATGTTTGGAGAAAGAAGGGAGAGGCGCTCAACTCAAAGAACATGGAGGTGGGAGTGTAATGCTGTGGGGATGTTTCAGTGCATTTGGAACTGGGAATCGTGTCAGGGTCAAAGGAGTCATGAAAAAGGAAGACTACGAGAAGATTTTGAAAGGCAACTTCAGGCAATCTGCAACAAAACTTGGTTTGGGTTGACGTTTTGTCTTCCAGCATGATAACGACTCGAAGCATACCTCACCTCTGGTGAAGAACTACCTCCAGATGAGCAAAGTGAACATCCTAGACTGGCCTGCGCAAAGCCCAGACTTGAATCCAACAGAAAATATGTGAGGCACACTGAAGACCAGAGTCCATGCCAGGAGACCAACAAATCTGGAGGAGCTTGAGAGATTTGCTGAGGAGGAATGGGCTGTAGCGACTCAGGAGACGTGCCTAAAACTTGTTGAGAACTACAACAAATGACTAAAGACTTTGTCCTTTTTTTTTTGCTGTGAAATATGACATTGTCAGACATTTCTTTGTGAGATTGACCCATACAGGTCATTGTGATACAGTGACCCCGTAACCTTCTGGAACTTTTGCAATCAGTGAATGTGTCCCTCAACCACAAATGTGTGTGTTGAAAGAATACATTTGCACAATACAGCTTCCTGTTTTGACATCAGTTCAGCTTGTTCTGTTATATTATTTATAGGCCACAATATACACTAATTTAGGGTCTCAATTCCCAAATGCATATACACATATATACACATATATACACATACATATATACACATATACATACATATACACATATACATACATACATATACATATATATATATACACATACATATATATATATA